CACGCGCTAATCACCGTAAGCCCATTTACAGAGCTCAGCGGCAACAACCTCATGGCGACCTTCTCTAAATCATTGCGTAACCTTGCACGGGCAGGGATCGATTCGGCATGTGGTGTTGGTGGTTGTTGTCAGCGATGGTGGTGTGTCGGCTGTTGGTGGTGCTGCTACTGCATAAGAGTGGCTTCCCTCGTAAGGAATGGCACTGCATGGCCGTAAATAATGCATGGCGCAATACGTATTGTGCCGCATGCAGCAGCTCTGCATGTTAAGTGAGGTTCGGGGCTTATGAATGCTGATGAAAATGTACACTCAGGGCCACTAGCAGCAGCAAGTAATAAAAGCAGCGAATACAGATACAGTTTTTATGAAAGATAAAAAAATAAACACGTGCACACGTGGTGCTTTTGGGCTGTTTACACGTAGCGCATATTTAGTTCCGTTGTGGTAAGCGAACAAACACAACACAACTGTATCCTGTGTATAATGTGCATCGCACTGTGCGTTGTGTGATATTTGTTAATGGTATACTGTACAAATGTGTGTCAAGAATGTATGTGTGTGTGTGAGTGTGTGCTTGCCTGCATGTCGTGTACCAGGAAAATAGCTCGGTGGATTGGGGGGTTTGTCTCCCAGACAGCCATGAGGCGGAAAGCTGCATTGCCAACGCTTTCCAACGTTATATTTGTTCGTGCAGAATTTTCATCGACTCCTAAGACATTATTCCTTGGAAATGTGTATAGTGACTGTGATGCCCATACCAAAATATGCCATATTCTTTTGATGATGATGAAGACTGTGATGAGAATGATTAACAAAACATTATTATGCTAATTGATCAACCATTCTTGCAATGCGTATTCATAAACCAGCCATTCTATTTAGAAATGTGTCATTTCATTTCAATTAGTTTGTGGAAAAATCTGAGCAAATTAAATTTTGCCCACATGCGTCTTAATTGGGTTGTGGTGAAAAATACGATCAGTGGTTCCAAGTTTTCAAGGCCTGTTGCTACAATAGAAACAAAGGTGCCGCACCATTCGAGGATGTAATTGCCCCACAAATGTTTTAAAAATATATATAAATCAGTGGCAGGAAGCCCATTGACATTCAATGAGGACGGCTGCTTGCGTTGTGGCTGAAACGTCGTGAGAATTATTTTATTATGTTTTAGTTTTATTATTTCTTTTCTACGTGACTTTACCGAAAGAACCAAGAAGATGAATCCCTGCAGTCACGAAAGCTTTAAATCGAAAGGTAATATATTACCTTGGAGTTTATTCCTACCCCGACAAATTCATGATTTTAATTGGATTAATGTAACAGATTATAAATGCACGATTAAACAGTAACACAATAACACTTAATAACACAACTGCACAATATTTAGCGCTCCAATGTTTAAAAGTACGTTCCTTAGGCAAGTTTAACTGTTGACCTATACGGTGCACTCATTACACACAAAGTGCTTGCCACAAATGAACCGCAATACCTTGCCGATCTCGTCAAGGAGCATAAACCATCACGTGAACTCCGGTCATCCTCGCAGTGGCTTTTGGCTGCTGGCCATTGAACAAAGACGGTCACCGCATCGCGCACTTTCAGATGCGCTTCTGTGGCCGTCCGGAACGCTCTTCCTTCTGATTTTTGGAAGCCACTGGATTGTAAACTAATTTCTTTTTAACTGATTTTTGTCATTTGTTTGTTGTCCTTCCCCCGCACCTCCCATTCTCATGGTTGGTTACGTACGGTGCGAAAAAAGTTCAACATATATACATACTTACGTTGTGGAAGTGGCAGTTGCTGCCTGAATGGCAGAGTGATTCCGCTGACATCACTGCGCATTCGTCAGAAACAATTGCGAATTACGTTGTGCCCATCTGTTTTATGATTTACAATTTTGACCCATTTCACGTACTGGGCTAATTTAAATGGCAGATGAGATGAGCATTGCTGGGCCGATCAGGCCTAATTATCTGAAGTATCGCCTCAAAGAGCAAGACATTTATTAATTATTTCTACCTCGCTCATGTTAAATACATATCATTAGCTTTCAAATGGCAGCTGGGTCATTTTGAACCAAACCACTGCAATATTTTTTTCCTTCTACTCTTTTGATCTCTTGCTTTCAATCTCACCAAGAGAACACAATCGTCCCAAGCCTTTTCGTCTCATCACATTACCTTTCAAAAAGTGTACCTTTCAAAAAGTGTACCTTTCATTTTTCGATTTAAAGCTTTCGTGACTGCAGGGGTTCATCTACTTGGTTCTTTCGGTAAAGTCACGTAGAAGGGAAATAATAAAAATAAAACATAATGAAATACAATTCTCACGACGTCTCGGCCACAACGCAAGCAGCCGTTCTCAGGTGAAGAACAGGGCTGTCGGAAAGACAGCGTCTTAATTTTATTATATTACTATTTCCCTTCTACGTGACTTTACCGAAAGAACCAAGAAGATGTACCTTTCATGTTAACTACCTTGAATATACCTTCCTACTGAGTTAGATTTAAGCTAAAATAGAATACGAAAAGCAAGATCACTGTATAGAAGGGTGGAATACATCCCATCCACACAACAGAAGTGTTTATGAACTTAAATGTTGCTTATTATGATGCTGCTCATTTAGTACCTTACAATCAGCACCTTTATAGTGTCCATGTAATTCCATAATACTCGTCTACATTTACGACTTGTCCACAGACTGAGGGTTCACACTGACTTGCCATGGCTAGAATTTGTGAGTGTGCATGGTCATGTAGGGCTGTTTGACCTTCATGTGACCTCCATTGCAGTCTGCTTCGTGAACAGAAATCACTGGGAGATTGCACATACCGGACATTTGTTTCAGGCTTGAATGGGCTTCACGGTCATTTCCTTCGACTGTAATCATTCTGAGTTGGATACTTAGAACCATTGAAGGGGTTGGCAGTTACCAATAACCCTGGCATGCAGACTAGATTTTTTTGTTAGGTATTTTTCCCGAATTGTTATCCCTATTGCACTGTCCGTGTCATGTCGTGGAACTGAGTATCCAATTGGGTATCTTGGAGAACAGCAGCAACCCTTCGTATTGCAGAGCAGCCCACAGAGGCGGATAGCACAGAGATAACTCTGAGATCCCTTCAAGTGAGCTCTAGCATGCGGGGGAGGAGGGGGGTGGAAAGCAATGTTTGTCACATGTTATTGAGCAATTTTCAATTCTCAGAGCTGGAATTTCACTTTAAGTGCAGAAGGACTGTGATATATTGTTCTCTACAATGATAAGATTGAAAGTCGTCAATAACCTACTTTAAAATGTCTTTAATTGGCACTATCCCCCAACAATTGAACTGCATTAACCGGGGTGGTCTAAGGCCACTAAGCTTACCTGGTTTGAGTCTCCGCTCCCTGGATAATGTGTCTCGGAGACATTTGGAATCTGTCTGCTGTCTGCTTGCTCGCAGATGTTAAAGAGCTCAGTACACAGCTGACAGTAGCAGGCTATTGCCTGTCTTACAAGGGTAACATAAGATCAAATGTCCCTGAAATGTGAGAATAAAAGAGTTTGAGTAAGGTACAGCATTGCCATATGCTTTTTACACCAAATTTTCACTATTCTCACCGTTATCATTGAACAGGCACTTGAAAGAGGGGGTGTATTTACAGCCAGCATACATGAAACGTTAAGTGATAATAAGAAGAGTATTATACTTCATGACAAATGTGCACCATTGTCACCATTTAGACAGTATTAGCAGCATCTCACATGTATAAAGGAGTATAGACCACATGGCAATTTTATTTAGAACTTAAACAAATCTTCCAAATCAGACTTGAAACCTTTCCAAACAATAGTGTTTTTTGTTTTTTTCACCAATTTTGTTAGGATTGTGCTTTCAGTGTGATTATTATACAAGGCAGACATTTCCATATCGAACGCTTCAAACATGCAATGGATCGCCTTGTTTCACAGAACTGCTATGGTAGATGACTTTGCAGAATTATCTCTGACGTTACTTCCAGAAGCTTCTTATCGACAGTGGGCTTCACACCTTTTTATATGACCTGCAGATAGTATATGATATCAAAATATGCTTAACCAAATATGCCAAATTGATAAATGAATCATGAAGATAATTTACATTCCATTTTCAATCCATTGCAGGGCACAGGCCTCCCAATGATGTATTGCTCATGGGGATGTTTAACCATACTTCACCAAACTGGTTAATTCTGTACTTTTTGGTTCTTTCGGTAAAGTCACGTAGATTTTTTTTTTAATATATAACTAAATTAAATCACGACGTTTCGGAGGCAACACAAGCTTCCGTCATCAGGTGGAACAACCACAGCAAAATTACTGTAGTGAATAGAGAGCTATTTGTGACACATTATTATATAGGGTAAGAGGGGATGATGAGCCAGGGAGGCTTGTGTTGCCTCCGAAACGTCGTGATTTAATTGAGTTATTTTCATTTTTTTTTCATCTACGTGACAATTACCGAAAGGACCAAAGAATATGGATCCTTGCAGTCACGAAAACTTCAAATCTAGAATGGTTAATTCTGGTTGGTAAATGGTGGAGGGCCAGAAACTGATCAGATACCACTTGCCATTGATGCTAGCTGTGGCTGGAAAATGGACTTGGGTCACCAGGTTCATTGTGCAGTGCACTCCTACTGTGCCACTGCTTCTCCCGCCCCCCCACCCCCATACGAAATGAAGTGACACAAATTTACAACGAGGGACTGTTTTGTGCTGTCCCCGCTGGTGACTGGACCAAAACCATCAACTAACTCCGCTTGAGAATCCAGTTTAATCTCAGGTGGCTCAAACCCAATTTTTAACCCAGCATCTGAGAAGTGCTCGCTTATTTTGCTGACATAATATCCCCCTGAGCTATCTGGCCACCTCTGTAAGAATCCTGAAAAAAAGTTTTAACATTTTTGCTGTGGCTGTGTTTTTTTGTGGTGATGGTGACGAGGTCTGCTTGTGTTTTCTGTTTGTTTGTTGTGTGGCAGGCACACTACTCGACTGGTCATACGGCAGCGGCATTGATGTCCACAACCTACACGCCACAAACGCAGAGCCATCGAGGTGGGTAGCACGGGAACTCGACGCTGCTCAACCCTCGGGTTGCCGAATTATGGGAAAAATAATATCTCGCACGCCGAAGAGTGGTGAACTAATTGTGAATGTATTTGCTTGAGTGGTTTATTATTATGCAACTGGCTTAAAAAGTGGGACTCTTAATGTCCTGAGAAGACTCAGATTTCCCAGGATGGCTACCTCAAAGAGAGGGTGTCCTGGGAAAACCAGAACAGGTGGTAACTGCACACATTCTAATCCACTGTGTGCTGCATGCTTCTGCCCCCAGTGGGGTCTCAGGTCTTTGAATTAATCGTACGCAACAAAAGACAATCAGTTTGCTGCACACATCAAAAAGTCCAGCTGCTGCGTGTGTCTCTGTCGCTGTTCAGTCGTACCACACGGTGCCTGATGAAGCCATTCCGCTAGTGTTTTATGATGGCCGCCACTGAAGAATTGGATTTGCATACACTTGACACGCGTGCCAATCCATTCAATCGTTGCGAAAGTTGTTTTGAATTCTATTGTCATATCCATGATGATTGAAAAACGATCACTGATTCTGAACACAATTGTTGGAAAAATCTATGATTGATAATCATTTCAGAAGTCAGAAGAAGTCATGTTTATTTATCGATTGATGAAAACAAAATAACCGGTTAAGAACTCGTGTGGACAGTGCATTCACAATGAGGCAAAAATTGCACATCCATGATGGGTGTTCAAAATTAGATGTTTTGCTGTTAATCTTTAATAGAAGTACAATGTGTACTTTCCAAATGATAGCTCCACTTTTAAGAACATACTCTATTGAACTGCCGTACAACAAACCACTGCTCTCGATGTTTTTGTGAGAGAGACCTACGTGAACGTTTTGATCATGAATCGCGAAATTAATCCTAGTATTTTTCTGTTAGGCAATTGCAAGACAGTTTTAAACATCGTTTTCGTGGGCCTGCAAAATACGCTGCCGTAATTATGTTCCTTTCCAGTAGGCATGGAATGATGTATGGAGTTGCCATTCCATTCAATAATCTTTTGATTTTATATCTCATGTTTATCATGTTTATTTGCTCTTGCGTTCGTTTTCTTATTTGTAGTTTTGTTTATTCCATTTGCCTAAATGTGTCATAAGCACTGCATCGCATATTATTTTACATAAATACTATACAATGGATTCTGCCATGCACGATTCGATGGATGTATTTTTGTTGAAAGAATAGATTGTATTTGGTTAATCAATATGGCATTACATAGTAAAATGGTTAGCATTGTTTTGGCTTCTCATCAGCGATGCTAATGAAGTGTCTACTCTGTGGTGCTGTGTTAAATTTGAATTGCTCTGAGGATATCTGGGTCCTGCTTCATACCTGCCTACTTGTATTCTGTGTGTTTGTCATGTCAAATATTTGTGTGTGTTTTGTATGTGGAGAGCAGTGGTGCAGTGATTAACGCACTGCATTACAGACCCGGTGACCCGAGTTCGATTTCCGCTAATACCAGTGGCCAATTATCTCAAAGCTGTTTTTTGGCGTCCCCTTGGTCGACTCAGCCTGAAATAAGTACTTTTTGCGATGTGTCAACATCAACACTGGTGGAGACAAATGCAGCCAGGCTTGGTTCTAGCCACACCAGCCCCTTGTTGTGTGCCTTGCCAATGATTGTAAGTGCTCTCTAACAGCGCGGGGGACCTTTGCCCGTGTCGGTGTGTGCCGTAGATGTCGTGGATGAGGACATAGTGCGCTTCAAGTACGTGCAGAAAAAGAAAAAGGGCTACGTGCGCATGCTAACCAACATGGGAGAACTCAACCTGGAGCTGCACTGCGGCATGGTGAGGCGTCAAACCCGTGGCCACACGCACACACCGGAGCGTGACTTGTGCAGCCGCTTGCGAGCACGCCCGTACTCATCGAGCAGGGTTCTTCATCTGTGTTTGCCAGCGGGCCACGTGATGAACTTAAGGATGTGCCCACAGGCCGGAGGTCGGCAACCAAAATAACAAGAAGAGACATTTTTTTTCTATTTCGGTAAAAATATCTCAAATGTTGCAAGTGTCGCAGTGCACTTGAATACCCAGACGGACCTGAATAAATAACGTCACAAAGCAATCCTTAAAGAGCCGCATGTTGCCAACACCTGCCATAGGCCACGTGACATCGAACGTCATGTGTATACACGTTGCAGGAGAAGGAATAACTTGGCAGCACTTTGTGAATGCTAACTTTTGCCTGTAGCTGAAAGACTTTTACAATATTGGGACTTTATAATGGCAGTGGCCTTCAAGCCACGTAAATGTGGGGTGGGAGAAGGGCAGCCAGTGAAGACTCGCAAGATGTTACGTTGATAGTAAGTATATAGTAATCCAGCTCACATAGTCGTAGTGCACGTAGACCGTATTCTCCAGAATTCGAGACGCTCTGGAAAGTGAGACGCACGCCAAACTTGTGTTCACTGCCAATAAAGTAATACGAATCTTGTCCCCACACACCTACTGGATTATAAGATGCGCCTCCCATCTGTTTGCTTTCAAATACAGGAAATGAAGTGCATCTAATAATCTGGAGAACATGGCAAAGCAAACAAAACAAGTGTGTCCTCTAGGGGCAGCGTCTTTCAAAGTTTAAAACGAAAACCTCTCACCCTCTTATTTATATTTACTGCCCTTACTACCTTGTTGTTTTTGGTCCCCTGCTGGCATGAAAGCCTATTTCCAAAGTGAGGAGATGGAGTCGTTCCTACAGGTGGTGGTTGGTATTGTCCCTAATTGAAAATGTCAATGGGACAAAGCGTGTTGCTATTAATGTACCTTGGGAGCCTGTTGTTGGTGGTGTTTCATGCCAGCATGCTCATCATTTTGGTTAAAATCAGAGCCTACCGTAAGCATTACGCTCTCAGGTTTGTCACGTGGATTGCACAGAACATTATTGGGTAGTTCTGTTTCTATATTCTTAAAATATCTTTCCAAATCACACTGTGCTGCTTAAATGTTGGCACACAAAACCTCTTGGGAATTTTAAATTAAGTTGGCGAATGCAATTGAAAGGTAAAGTTATTTCTTTAGCTTGTATTCAGTCGTCTTGCTTCAACGTAAAGGGTAAGAACTAAAACAACGAGCAGAGACTTGAGATGTATCTCTGATTCCATAGTCGGCCAGTTTGAATTTTTGTTCTCACTTCGAAAGTTGCAGTGCAGTAGATGTTTCATCTGGGACATTGCACCAGTTTTCATGGATAACTTTGAATCAACAAATGCCGCAACAATTTTCTCTGCCCCATTGTGCTCTCCCCCGCATTGCTTTTTATCTGTTGACAAGTGCTCCAGCTTAGGATATTTGGTAGGCTATGGGAAAAATATCGGATTTTGTTTCACCTCCTTGACTTTGTTCATTGAAAAAGCTATTAAGACCACGGGGCTGGATATAAAGCAAGCTTGGCTCGTGCTCGAAATCCATCCTTTTGAGGTGTCACACAAATGTGGCAGAACGATCAATCTGCAGGAATGCCAAAATGCGCCGCCGCAACAGTTGCAAACACTCAAAACAAGTGGTCCCACGTTCATTGCATCGGGGAGGGTGCGCAAGCACTTCTCAGGCTCTCGCCCAGCAGACTGTCAGCGACTTACATTTCTTGCGTTTTCTTCGGTGGGGCGGGGGGGGCCTTTGTCCTTGTGAATTCATTGCGATTACTGGGACGTTGGGCCCTCTATGCGCGAACGGAGTGCACTTTCATCAATGTTTGCTTGCCTTTTCCCTGCGTGTTTACTTTACTTGAAGCAGTTGGGCTGAATGGGGTGATTTTTTTTTTTCCACTGTTGTTTCCAGGGAGTGCACAAATTAAATGTGATGGAAATTTTTTTGAAAGCAAATATGTTAACAGTAACAGGAAATAGATGCACATTACAAAATGTGTCTTTCTCTGCAGTATTTACTGCATATAATATAACATTTAAAAATATTGGCAAATTCATATGCTTGTTGTGTATTATTTTCTCAAATGCACATTGTTTATGTAATAATGCACGTGTGATCATGCTTGAAGTTTTTGAGAATTCCGGAAAGAATGTATGATTTGCTGCACGATATTTAATCACGCCTGCATTTTTCTCGCATCAATTGGACACATCTTTAAAAGTGATTCTTTCTCTCAAATTCCTTCCCTCTCCCTGCCCTCATTCTATTCTGCTCTGCCTCACGTCGCTGCTATGTTTAAAGACATTCTCAAAAAACAAACATGTTATACATTAGTCTCTCGCAAAAGCCAAAAAAAATATCAATCTCAGCCGTTTTCTGAATGGTGTGTGTACACACTATATAACAGACTTCACAGTAGCTGAGGAAGACGTGCATTTAAGATGGGGCCTTGGGAACATGTTAAAAATTAATGTGTGGCTCTTTTTACATTTATTAGTGGCTGGTGTTTGCTGTCAGCTCGCATGGCACCATTATTTTGAGGTGTTGTATTTTTGGTGGGCACAGAGCACGGACGGACGTTGCGTGTGTGTGTATGTGTGCAGACCATCACTCATGCCAGCGTGCAACTACCAATTTCATTTCTCCCATTTCATATCAGCGATATGCTGATAAAACTTGTGGGTTTGTCATCTTTGCCAGTTGTCATTTCCACCATAGCACAGTTATCTTAGGTTCATCTTTCAGGTTATTAATGGTTTTGGGTATATACTCGGCATTTGCTTATAGGATTCACTGTGGGATCGTATTTGGAGTTAAGTATAAGAGGTCATATGACCAAATCACCTGGAATGCACCTGATCTTGTCATATCTTGTAAGCTAAACAGGATTGAACCTGGATCGTGTTTGGATGGGTGCCCGTCATGCACACACAGGTTGTTATAGGCTACAGGTATTAGGAAACCTTCATCCAGCAGTATATTGACAAAAGGGCCTCGGTCAGCTTTGGTATTAAGATGGCCCTAGCAATGTAGTAAACGGTTAAAATTAGCATTCGGATTAACATTACAAGTATTGAGTCGTGTTGGGGATATGTTTACAAGTAGGAATGTAATGAATATTACTGTCAGGGTTAGCATGAGGACAGGAGCACATTTTTTGATAATGGTGAGTTACAAGAGCACTTATATTTAGTATTGCTTCTGGGTCTAGAATACTTAAGTAGCAACATTTCCATTAGTTATGTACTGTGCGCCATTACCCTTGTAAGAGCAATTTATTTTTACTACAGACTTTGTGAAACCAATCAATTGAGGTTAAAATATAAGCAACCTCAGTTTTCTTTTAAAGTTGAAGCAGAATTTGTATATAAATAAGTTGCCATTTTTGCACAAGCATAACCCTGGTGTCGGTTTAATTTCAGCAAACAGCATGTGCTTAGATTATTATAAATGTCACTTGTGAATTATTAATGACTCCAATTGCAAGACACATTTCACGTGCACACGAATCCCCACTAAGCCTACATTACTCTCTCCCCACGCAACCCTCAACCCCTTTGGAAACTTGGACGATAACACTAATTGGTGACGGTCTGTCATGTGTGCGGCCTGTACATTGCGATTACAGGGACATTGGTTAATTCTGTGGCGGGTGCCCCTGGTATATTTGATGTCTTAACAGAGCCCCATTATTTTCAAACAAGACCATTATGTATCCCATTCATAGTTTGTAATGTTTTTGATAGTTTTCATATTGTAACAATATCTAAAGCAATGCTGAAGAGAAGCAAAAGAAACACTAGAGAAACAACTGAGAGATAAATCACGAGACAATTCTGGAAGGCGCGCAATTCAATGCTTATGTAGTAGGTTCAATGAGATTTGGACGACGTAGTCGGAGGCACACTTATTTATTAAACATTTCACTCAATACAGGCCAAGGTATACAACACTCGAAGGGGTAGCGGCCCCTTCACCCGTCTAACAGGGAGATCCCACGATCTCTATCCCGGCTAGCCTACTCCCAGGTCCTCCACTCGAGAGCTAGGGGAGGCTAGCTGATCCAGCTCTGGCCAAGCTAGGATCACGGCACCCTTAGTCACCAGACCGGCTCTTACAAGAGCATCGGCTCTGGGCTCTCGGGGCCACGCCACTGGCTTGCCCTGGTCGGTCCTTAGAAGAACAACGATCCAGGGGAGTCCCAGGGCCTATCTAGCCGGTCTTCCTTCTTCACTGGCTTAAGCTAAATACTGAACCCCGAGCCCACCGGCTCACCGCCTTATATAGCAACTCCCCCCCTCCGAGGGGTGGGGCCGTGGGGGATCATAGCGCCGTTTCAGCCCCCCAGGCTAAACGATGCGGACGTGGATGTAAGCATCCTTCCGCGTGCGGGCATAACCCCCCCTGGTATGTTTGTTCGCCCTCCCGTAACACCTCTACACTTATAATAGTTGCCGTACGGTACTAAACTGGAACTGACTGGCGCGTGACGTTTCTGTATGACCCTTCTTGGCATTGCCTTGCACGCTGTTCAAATATTTGAGGTTCAGTTGTGCAATTAGAACATTCATGATTAATTTAGAGGTCCCGCCCCACAAAAAAATGTATCCATTGCATACAAAACACGTAATGTTTATAAATCCTACGAAGAGGACACTCGAAATCATGGTCATTGGTTCTCTTGTTGTTGGAATGCAACGGTGGCCGCTTGTATTTTGCTCATCCTTGTCACTGACGCTACTTGTAATTGTCGCCGATAGGTTCCCAAGACGTGTGAGAACTTCATTCTGCTGTGCCAGAGGGGCTACTACGATGGAACCGTTTTCCATCGGTCGATCCGCAACTTCATGGTGAGTGGAAGCTTTTTATTTTGACTTCTTGCATGAATTGCTGCTTGGGGTTGAGCTGTGATGCTGCAGGGCTTATTGACTGCTCTCAGAACCCAACAACAAGCTGCATTCGATATAGTTATGAGAACGGCTACAACAAAAGATTTTTGACAGTTTTTTTTCTGAAAATCTCTTCAAATGGCCTTTTTATCTTTCTCAATACTCTGCTATGAGTTTGCCACTTTAAAGTCAAACCGATATTGAAATTTAACCAAATTTTGTGAAAAAACACAAATGTTTCATGCAGTCATTGGAGACTTGCTCAGTTCGAAAAAATTAACCCGTAAAAACAAAGTTTTTCACCATAAATCCTTTATATGCGTGGCATCGGTTTTATTTTATTATTTATTTCTGTTTTTCTTGAGTAAGAGTTTCATTTTTATCACATTAGTATTTTAAATTAAATATGAAATTTTTTTTCCCCCTAAAATGTGGAAAATTTTGGAATTTTTTTTTCACGAAAATAAATTGTCACGCACAACGAGTCTGTGTGCAAAATGTCAGCTCGATTGGATCACGGGAAGTGGGTTAAAAAACGACCGAAAGATTTGCACGGTCGTAAACGCGCAAGCAAGCAAGCAAGTGAACTTAATATAAAGGATTTAAAAATAAGTTCTACCGCTGGTGGCTGACACCTTGATTCAAACGCAGGATTTCTCAGGCATGCCCACTCAGTGCTCTGACCCCTGATCCATCTGGCTACGTCTGTTTTTTGCGTATTTGATTGTTTTGTTTCACTTGGTGGTGCTGTGCTTCCTTCTCACCCATACCATTTTAATCATTGCAACTGTTCAATATTTATTTTTTAAAAAATTCCTTCCTTGTCTGCTTTAGCTTGCACTCTAAGACCCTTCAGAATAATCAATTGTTTAGCAGTATTATTGGAGCCTGGGTCATAAATTCCATCTCTTGTAATTTTAGTATCCTCATTAAGTTGTTTATTTTACAATCATCCATACGTTATATCTTAATGGCAGGTATTACTGTATGTGTATTGTTGTTATTGCAGTGGTTCTTGGAAATACCAAGTTTGGAAATTGCAAGAACATTTTTGTAAATTGTTTTATTATCAGAATAGCTCTGCAAACAATTACCAGGTGCTTTTAAAATATATCTGAAATAATTTACCGATCTAAGACGTTTTGCCAACTTAAAATAGAATTAATATATTTTTCTGATTCTCTTTCTCACCCTATCATTTGATAAATAGGCCTTTCTCCTGCAAGCACCAAACAATCTTAAATAAGAACTATCTTTCTACAAATGCTATTAAATCATTAGGACACTTTAATATATATTCACCTTGCACCTTGTCATGCACTACACTTCAGCCATTCGAGACAGCACAGTAATTGTTTCCAGAACAGTAAAGGGCACTTTCCCAAATGTTGGCAGATACTGAGTTGAAGCCAAGTTGAACAAAACTGAAGTAGATTCCATGTTTTCCTTTAACGCTAAATCAATTTAATTCAGTACATCCTTCTGCTGCTGTGTTTATCATGAATGTGCTGAGAATTTGTGACCTGAAATAAAATATATGATGGGGTTTTAGCTGATGTGATGAATGTTGTGTCCTTAACTCAGCATGATTTAGAAGGTAAGGTACATTTGTGTGTGTGGAGAGTAGTAGTGTAGTGGTTAGGACGCTGAGCTACGAACCCAGCAACCCGCCCGAGTTGAATTCTCGCTCACGGCCAACACCAGTGACGATTATCAAAATAGGTCTTGGTCCTGCCCTAGGTCGACTCGGCCTCAAATGAGTACCGAGTGCGAGGAGACAAAGGTGGGCGGGTATGATGTTGGTCACCCACCCCTTGTGTACCATGCTGGCCTTCATCGGTGCTCGATAACAGCACTTGCCTCAATAGTTTAAGGTTATATGGAGGATATTTGTTTGTTCTTTCTTGTGTTATGAATGGTAATAATGCAGCTTTTGCATTGTTCTGATTACAGATTCAGGGTGGAGACCCAACAGGGACTGGCAAAGGTACGGTGCCTATACATTACATTTAAAAGGCAATCATTCTTTCTTGACATTCGTTCCAAGAAGTGGATGCACACTTGTGGTTGTGAGATGGGCTATCATTTTGCATGTCACGCACGCGTGTGTGCAAATGTGCTTTTGTGGATGGGCAGATACATTTGTGTGTATATTTTCCAAACACCTCGGTGATGTCAAAGTGCATCTAGCCTGGTACAGTTTCTGCGTTGATGTCACCAAAATCGGTGGAAAATGAGGGATGGCGGTTTTTTTGCATGCTTGCACAAATTGGTGTTTGGCCAGTGTGACCCATGCAGACATAATTTTGGTAAAAAACAAGATTCTGTGTTGGACAATACGCTTAAGGGCATTAATCAGTGAAGACATTCAGTTGTCTGTGATTAAATACAAATCTCTCATTAACGATGAATAGGCAATTGCACTTGCGTTAACGCTCTATCTAGTAAATATGCGTTCGGCAGATTTTTCGAGTGCAAGTCTGCATGCATCATTGCGCTTTTTATAGTTTAGTAAGTGCAGGCATTTAAAACGGTCATTAAGGCTGGGAAGCACATTCTAGTGTATCCAATGCTGGCCCATGTTGGAAGCGTTCATAGGTAAACACCGCACTTCTGAAGGGTTTAATTTCTGTTTTGTGTTTGCTTTGTGTACTGTTGGTCGGTCTTTGTGCGCCATACATTTATGTCAATCTGTATTTGGTATTCTGCTGTGTGTACTATAACGTCCCTTGCCCATGTCTCGCATTTATGTAAATCTGTGTTCCTGTTTTACGGCACGATTTCTGCCGGGATGCTGCGCGATCTCCGCTTCTCCGTTTAAACAACACTGAACCACCACTTACCCCAGCGCTAAATTTATCCCAACGCTTTTGTTACTCGAGAGACGGGGATAACGAGCGATGCTGGTGCGCCGTGCGTGCCGTTCCTCGCAGCGATTCTGCCGGTTTTAGCAGTCGGCTCGTGTTCGGCTCAAGGTACAGCGAGGAAAGCCTCCAGGGACCTCACCACGGTTTCGGCCCATCTTTGCTTTTCCTGCTGCGTATTTTTTTGCTCTACATTTTTTCTCGTGGAGCTGTTTTTGCGGCTGCAGCTCAGTACATGGTGTTAGGGCGGCGCTGATTAAAGATGCAGCTTGATTTATAGCCTGTCACAGCTGGCAAGTCTTTAACCCCTCTGTAGCTACAAGACGTTGGTTTATGCTAATAAGGAATGTGGGCTTTGATTTTTTTTTGGGGTTATATGCCTGTTTCTTCGGTGACCTATCAGCTCTGCACAATGAACGGATGCTCGAGTGTCAGAAATTCTGGCAATCCTCTGGCACCTTCTGATGCTTTTGTTTGCTTCTTAGTGCATAGTAGGTCTTGCTGTTCTGGATGCAACTGATTAACTTTGATGTAATTTTGGACGTTTTTATTCATTGACACCAGCACGTGGGAAGTACGGTGCATTGATGTCCAGGGGGTTCTAACGTTCTGTCGTATTCGGCAAACACTTCACATTGGCAGGTGAATTGGGTATTAAAATGCCTCATTAATTGGTGTTGACAATTTACTTATTGAGGAAACCAGAGCACCTGGATAAAACTCACGCGCGAGGGGGGATTTTTTTTTTTTAGCCCTAAGATGGAAACAGATGGCGATTAGTCCACTTGCTTTTTACTGCCTTCTCCTGGTGAGCCAGGGTATGGCACCTCGATACCCACGGAAAGGGCGTTTCACAACATTTTTGTGATTCACCAACCTTCACCTCCACAAGTGGTGGATTAGAGGCCACATGCATAGCGACCACCACCTGGCGAAAGACACTTAAACATTTTGTTGAAGTAATGCTACGCCTCTTTAGAAAACTTTTTTCATTTAGCGCTCTACATCGTCTAAGGTATATGGAGTTCTGTTCACATTTTTACACGGCATTGAAAAAAAAATGTGAGTTCATGTTAATGTTCTTTTAATATTATCTTTTCAAAAGTAATTATCTCCATATTGCAATACTAGTACAGTTCTTCAGTATTTTTTTATTAACTTAAATTTGTTTTGAAAAACAAAAACTCAAATTTCACAACCTCTCACGATAACTCAATGTTTTATGCCAATATTAAATAATTCACCCTCACATTTGTAAAGCTCCGTGAAATGTGTCTACATTAGAATGTTTTTTTTACTTTATCCTGAAGGTTTCACAGCATTCTAGATTTGAAGCTTTCGTGACTGCAAGGATTCATATTCTTAGTAATTTTGGTAAAGTCACGTAGGTAAAAAATTAAATCAAAATTTATAAAATAATGATTTTTATTACCTACGTGACTTTACCGAAAGAACTAAGAATATGTTATTATTTTATTAATTTTTATTTCATTTTTTACCTACGTGACTTTACCGAAAGAACTAAGAATATGTTTCACAGCATCACAGCCCCTAGTCACATTCGCTACACAGATGTGGAGCTCTCAAAGGTTAATTAGGATGGATTTTTGGCTAATGTGGCTGCCTATGCCATCAGTGTTCCACCACAGGGCCTAGACACATCATCCATACCAGTGGCCCTGCTGGAGTAGCTGCACATGGACAGAATCAGGACTGCCTAGCAGCACTCACTTGTCATGTTGCCACTTTACTTCAGCCAGAGCACTACCTTGTGCATGTGATACCTTTAGCTAGTAATTCTGTACAGCATCCTTCAGAATTGGGTTTTCAGCAATATTTTAACTAATTGTTGGCAGTAGACACATAGCCTCATCTGATGATTAACATCCCATTGCCAATGGATACTCTTGGACTAAAGTAATATTTATGCAGCAGCTACCCTGATGGATGAAAGCAGTTTGTAGGGCCCTTTATCCAGCAGTGGATTGATCATGGCTGATGATGATAAGCAGTTACCAGTCGGTTACAAGTTAACAAGAACAAATCTTGCCATACCACATGCACTAGGTACACAAGCATGGGGTCAGAGACAGACATTGTGGTGACAGGGTTTGGTGCAAATTGCCAGCTGGTGGTTTTGTCTCAGATAGGAGCCTCAATTAGTCTTTTCATGTTTTCAGTGTTTCACGGAACCCCGTAGCACGCTGCTCGACAGGTCCCTTGCTCCCAAGTTGCAACGCTCATTGAGATTCCATGTCCATATTCTTCTTATTTCATGATTTGGGAGGCTGCCAAATCCATTTGCTTTCTATCCACTTCTGACTTGTGATACATATTTTCCAAAAGTACCTTTTAAAGCGAACCGCAAAGTGCTTTGCTGAGATATACAAGCAGACCCAGCCATAGGGGCATAGAGCTTTGATGACAATTACATATTTGACAGTTTTTCCTCCTGCAATTGGATGGTACTGGGACGTGACCAGCTGAGCGTAAACACTTCACACGATGGTTTGTACAGAATTGGTTACTGACTTGCATATGTGGGAATTAAGTGGTCATTCAGAGTCTTAGCCAGAATTTTTTATAGACAGGCAGAGAAGACGATTGAAAGATGGCATAAAGTAGCATTGGGCTAAGAATAAACCGCTAAGCTGTTTTAAATCTAATGAAATGTTGTTAATTCTAAGTAAACATAATTTGCTGTTGACCTTACGGAACTTGAGCCATTAAATGTGTGCGATAATCAGGGGCACTTCATGATAAATGAGCATGGCCTTTGCAAGGGTATGTTTGGAATACAGGATTAGTGAAAACGGTCCTCTGTGTGTGTGTGTGTGCATGTGCAGGGGGTAGTTGCTTGTGGCTATAAGTTCAACCCTGGTGATCTTCGCTTTACCTCCTGGCTTTGTACCCAAGTACCAATTTGTAAAACAAGAATTACCTACCATTGTCCTCCCGTTTACAATGTAGCTTTTTTTCGTACACCATGAATAAAATTGTCATTCAAGATGGCACGATTGTTTCCGAAGGCAATTTTGCCTGGATTTACTCACCCGGATTGAGTACCCTGTGTCAACGCCACCGTTACAGAGGCAAATTGCAGCCAGCTCCAGTCCTGGCCTCAAGACGCCCTCACGTGCCATACCACCCACAGTCGGTGCCCACGAACAGCGTTTGACCCCAGCAAATTTAACCAAGCCAACAAGGCGATCTTTGTCCTTGTCTTTGGGTCCATGTCGCTGTGCTTTGCTGCCTGACTGCCTGCGCACATGTATTGAATTTAAGCCAGGCTTTAAAGGGGTTTGTTTTATGGGGCTGTCAGAAAACTGCTCACTGCCATGCTCGCACGCCTTTCTGCCTCCCATGTTCCTCCCGTCTGAATGTGTGCCCCTTCTGTGTGTCTAGCTGTCTCTCTGATTGGTCTGTCCGTCTGCCTCAATGTCAATTGATTACCACATTACCTCATCCTTCATGTACATCTCGAATCACTGCTGGATGAGGGCCTTCTCATGTCATGACCATACTTCACTATGCCGGAGCATAGACAGAGAAGCATAGAAGCACAGTGTAACAAAGGAATTTGTTGTACTGCCTTCCACAGCACACCACACAGCCCCACACTCTATAACAACATCATATCACATGACTTGTGACGTGGCCCACCAGTGCACACCAATTTACAACGCGGCCTGCTGAATTATATAGTTGGAAGAACCCTGCCGTAGAGTATTGTTGTAACCAATCCCATCTCACACCAACCCACCAGCACCTAATTTCCACTAGCTTAGCTGGTAAAAGCCTACACCATGTAGATTACCTTCCTGTTCCTTCAATGTCCACCCACCTCATTCACTTCTGCTTTTGACCTATTCACTGGAAATTAACCCAATCCGAATGACCTCCGATGATAAGAAGGTTTTGTACCTGAACAATGCTTGGATAGCTTGACCACCATGCACAAACAGATAGTTATAGGCTGTGGGGCTATGTGGTGTTAAGCGGAGGGCAGAAAAATCAATTTTCCTGTACTTCTGTGCTCCCATGTCGATGTTTCCCACCTTCACCAATCGACACGGACTAGGGTGTTGAAGTATGGTCAAATAAACTCCACAACCTGTACGGCATGGGAGGTGAGGCCGTCATGCAGCAGTGGATTATCAAAAGGACTGCACGTGTAAACTATTACTTCATAGTCCCTCTGCGTGCACACTTTCATATTCAATTTGTGATCGGTTATTACTGTGAGTTTATTTCTTTTGTTTGTGCATAAAAGGTAAAATTGCATGTTCTTCCTTTAAGTGTATTTCAAGGGTTTACAACTTTTGTTAAGAGGCTTGGCGCTTTGCTTCAGTTGACGTCAGTACTAAGATATCCTACTTAAGCTTTGTGTGGTGACCAATATGAATGCGAACATTTTTTTCCCATAAATAATCCACTGAAAAATGATTGCCTCCAATAGAGACACAATTGATGGCAGCATGTCCTGAGAATTAACGTGAGCCGTCATGTGTTACTGTGGGCAGTAGTGGCACATTGGTTCACACGCTGCGCTACAAAACAACATACATTTAATTCCAGGCCACTGTTAACATAATTGACGAGCGGTGTATAGGAAGTGGTCCTGGGCTCACATAGGTCAACTCGGCCACAGACGAGGACCCAGTGTGGTGTATACGCCTTGGCACTGGGGAGACGAAGGTGGTTGTGCGATGATGCTGGCCACACGAGTATCCTCTTATGCTTAGGTTTTTTCGGTAAAGTCACGTAGGTAAAAATTTAAATTAATAAAAGTAAAATAAAAATAAAATAAAAATCACGACGAAGTCTCCTTGGTCGGTCGTATCCTTAATAGGTGCTCACTCACAACACTCGTTCTAACAGCCTGTAAACTTGCATGGGGATTCTTTGTATGTGTGGGCTAATGCTGGTGTGTGCAGCCTACGTGTTAATGATTAGGTTTTTGAGATTGTGTCTGCAGTGTAATTGCCGTGTAAAGCTGCATCGGATTTTTGTTAGCAACGTTTACAAGATTCTCGCTGAATGTATTAACCCTGCGAGTAAGGATTACATCTTCCTATTCTTTAAGTGGTTTGCTGTTTTGTAGAATGTGAAACGTTTAAACGCATTTTCTCATCTTCGATTTATATTTGTGTTGCTTTTTTAAAAGCGCTACTATATAAATCAGGACCTCTTGTAATCTGAAAGAGATTTTTTTTTACCAAACTGGCTTTCATCAAGATGTCAGCTTTCATCAGTGCCAATATAAGCCTCTTGACACAAATGTTGATTGTCGAATATTTCCTTCATCGTTTACGTGTGTGTTCTTGGAGTCTTCTTTTTAAGGATTATAAGTTACAGTTATGCCAAATATTGTTTTTTTTTTCAGTAAAAATTTAGGCCGATTCTTTGTAACAAAGTCCTCGTTATTAAACATTGCCTACCCCATCAAGGCAGTGCGTTGCGCTGTGCTGTTGCGCGTGTACCAAGCCTGTATAACGCCCCATACACTCTGTGATTATACCGTTCACAGGGGGAGAGTCGGCTTGGGGAAAGCCCTTCAAGGATGAATTTAAGCCGAACCTCTGCCACCAGGGGCGTGGAGTGCTTAGCATGGCCAACTCTGGACCCAACAGCAATGGGTCCCAATTGTGAGTATTTATCTGAATAAACCTTGAACCTCAACTCACTAGGACACGACCCCTGCAGGCGATTTTAACGACAGTGTTGCCAGTTGAACAGCACAAACTACTCACTTTAGTGGGCAGCAGTGGTTAGTGCAGTAATATCGATTATTGTATTGTGCTATGATCTGACATCGATGCTTTCCACTTTCACCAATGCGCACTGACAACTTGATGACGTGTGGTCAGATAACCCCCACTAGCTTCGCAGGCCTCATCCAGCAGTGGATTGACAAAGAGGCCGTACAGCCACTTACAGGTGGCTTTATTGTTATTTATTAAGGAGTGCCAAACTTAATATTGTCCTGTTTTGGTCACCCATGTTTCATTCCATTAACATTCATGCATTCAGGGCATGTTATGTGCAAATGTTGAGCCTTTGTATAAATCTGTATGTTTTGCCAGAGACTTTATAAAAATGTGACATTCTACATTTGTAAAGCTGGTGAAAAAAATATTTGGAACCACATTTAAAAGTCTATCACCTGGAATGTTACTAATCGTGATAAATGCTGTTATGGATGTAATATGTTAAAGATAGTGGTTTATTTAATCCTTTGGGAAGACAATAGTGGTTCTGTACGAATTACATTGTGCATTGGTCTGGCCCAATGAGAACTGGCCCACATTGTTATTAAGGTGGATTCTTGAAGCTTTTACATATTCAGTGTTTCATATTCAAAGCCATTGTTAAAAAGTTGCATAGCATCGCATGGACCCAGATGGCATTTTATTCTTTTAGCAGCAGAAGCCGCAAACTTTCCCAAATTACAATTCCATCCTGGGTCACTGCACCGACTCAAGACCAGAAACAGAACGGCATGATCTTGAAGAGTTCGCCCGCGGCTTCACTTTGCTTGGGCTGAGTTTCTGGGGAATTCCAGGTGAAAATATTGGGGTTACGGCTCGCACACTCGCACGCAGTGAATCACGCTCGCACCAAACCACGCGGTAATTGACTCGAGTAGAGCCCAACCTCGGAAGCGCTTCCCTCTGCGCCAGAACCGTCACCGCTTGAAGCTTGACAAGCAGCGGGGCTGCTTGTGGGAGAAGGGCCGTAATCACGTGCGATGGGTCGATGTCTTCAATTTGCGCTTCCCACAGTGGAGTGATATCTGTTGACAGCTGCAGTAAATTGTGTTTTTGCCTTTTCCCTTTGCTTTCTGGCAAATTGCATATTGCCTATTTAGTTCTTGGCAGATGTTTATTTTTTTTGCCCCTTCATTTGAATCCATTTCAATGTAAATTTTCAAGGCTTTTTTCTTTTATTGGTCTCGGAAGCATTCGTTGATTGCGTTTTCTTTTCTTACATCGTATCTTTTCCAACAATCCTGTTCGGGTGTCCCCGTTTGGGATTATGCCTAATAAATGTGGGTCCAAATTACAAGAAAACCAATTAGTTCATGATGCAGTCATGGATTTCTAAACAGACGCAAGGAAATATGCAATCGCTGGACAATACAACCACCATTTGCTGCATCTGCACTAGCTGCAGAGACTGTAAAATATATTCGCTTTTCTCACATTGTGGAAACAGGACAGTTAACGTTGGGTTTAAAGTCATGAATAACACTGGTCAACAAAAATGTTTTGTTTTTTTCTGGCCTGGACTTTTGCAGCTGTTTCAGACTAATTTCAGGGTGCTGATTCCAAATCTGATCTCAGATTTGCTCTATCACATAATTTTTATGCTATCGGCATACCCCATTTTCATTGATTTTACCCACAATTAACTCTGTCACTTATGATTGCAAGTTGTTGCGAGTCAGTGACTGCTTTAGTGTTAAAATATGGTGCTGTATTTTTAGGATAGTGTGTTTATTATATCATTTAATGTAGATATCGACATTTATTAAATATTTTTCTTCAGCAGTTTTTATTGAAAATGCAATATTTGATATCTCAAAAACCTGATGTGATAGACAAAAACTGATGCCAGATTTGGAATCAGCACCCCATAATTACATTAAAATCGTTGGAATACCTTATGCCAGAAAAAGTGTGACCAGTGTAATCCTTGCTCCTCCCCCCCCCCCCCCATGTAATGCGTATCCTCGGAGTTATTTGACCATACTTGACCTCCGATTAGTGTGGTTGACTACATACGGTGTGAAAGAAGTTCAACAACATACATACACGCTAGTCAATGCACATTGGTGAAGGTGGGCACATGTATGTGGGAGCATAGAAGGACATAACATGAATGTATTTTCTGCACTGCCCTTTGCTGCCCACAATTTAACCCTGCAGCAGCCTATAAGAACCTACATTGGCATGGTGATCGCTGATCTCAGCACTATTCCTGTCCAAATCTCCTTTGCGTTTGAGATCTGATGAGTTCAGGCACATTCTTGGTGATTTGGTCATAGTATGAATTACACTGGTCAACAAAAAAAAAAATTTCTGGCCTGGATTTTTGCAGCTGTTTTAGACTAATTTCAGGGTGCTGATTCCAAATCTGATCTCAGATTTGCTCTATCACATAATTTTTATGCTATCGGCATACCCCATTTTCATTGATTTTACCCACAATTAACTCTGTCACTTATGATTGCAAGTTGTTGCGAGTCAGTGACTGCTTTAGTGTTAAAATATGGTGCTGTATTTTTAGGATAGTGTGTTTATAATATCATTTTATGTAGATATCCACCTTTTTTAAATATTTTTCTTCTGCAGTTTTTTTGAAAATGCAATATTTGATATCTCAAAATCCTGATGTGATAGACAAAAACTGATGCGAGATTTGGAATCAGCACCCCAAAATTACCTTAAAACCGTTGGAATTCCTTATGCCAGAAAAAGTGTGTTGACCAGTGTTATTATAACCCATGCACGGGTTTGTGTTGTGTTTCGATGGTCGGTTTAAACCCCGAGCGTGCATCTAACCGCTTTTCTTTTTCTAGCTTCATAACGTTCCGCTCCTGCACCCATCTGGACAGAAAACATGCTGTCTTCGGACGGTAAGTCCCCGACCCCCGTGTCCACCCAATCCTTGTGCCACTCTGTGCGACCTCTCAGCCTGCCTCTCAGCCTGCCTCTCAGCCTGCCTCTCAGCCTGCCTCTCAGCCTGCCTCTCGGCCGTCATTTTATTATTAGCAACCCGCCAGGGAAATCTTTTCTGTACATCTCCCTGTTGACGGGGCTGGGCCACGACAGCCGGCCAATTGGCCTGGTCCCTCTTGGGGATTTAGCAATCTGCAATCCGGTGAGTTCTGTTTCAGAGAAGCGGCCGCGACTCACAAACTGGGCATCTGTCACGTGGTGGCGACAAGTTAATTACGGGTGCAACTTGAGGGTGGGAAGATGCCACAGATGTTGGCCCAGATATGGCCAGCAGCGTCGCATTCATATGCTAATGGTTGTCTCCTGCCCTAGATTCATTGTTGTGCTCAGAGCTGCCAGGACTCTTTTTTTAAACTTTTTTTTACGTGTTTCAGTTCCAAGAAACGCTTTTATTATTCCTGTGATTTTTTTTCATTACATGCTGCTCTAATAGCACGTCTGCTGTCACCCCCTTTATATTGATGTCTTCCTATCTTTGGATTCAATCCATCTATCTTGTTTGTCTATTTTATGAACTCCTATATATCAATGCTGTGTATTGATTCTATCATTCCTTTATGGGCATCCTACATATATATCAACCCTATACGCTATATCCATAACGCAGCGTAAGTCATATGTATGCATTTCTTTATATCCTGTGTATCTGCCTTGTGTATCGTTAGGATCAGTCCTATATGTTTTTGCAATGTGCATGCATTATCTCCTGTGTATCACAACTATGTTATCTGTCTTGTACATGGAATATTATTTTTGTTAAATAGAAATCTATATTTTCTTTTGGCATGGCAGGAAGGCAGTTTAGTAACACTTGTGCCTCGCAGCAACAAACAGTACCCAAGTTAGATTCCCAACTCGGGTGCCTTTTTGCTTGGACTTTGTATGATCTCCCCTAATTGTGCAATGGGTTTCTTCCAGGTTTTACGGTTTCCTTTCATAGCGGATAAAGACAAACATACAGTATAACTGGTATTGGCCAAACATTGTAATGCTGAAAAGAATACTTTAAAATTACTCAATTGGGATTACACAGCAGCAAAATCCCCCCCCCCTGCCCCCCACTGCGAATACTTGGCAGGACCGTCCATGGCAAACAATGGTCACGAACCAGTCCTGGAACCTCCTTCCCTTCCTTCTTTAGCAACCCACACTGACCAGCGTGGTTAAGTAAGGTCAAAAACCCCCATGACCAATACAGCATCTTCTTCTTTAGTGCTGCCTAACGGCGTGTGCGACTTCACGATGATATTGGTCCCGGTCTAGCACGGCGTGTAGAGTTTGTGCTGTTGTTAATTGTAGCCATGTTTTGATGTTACTGAGCCATGTCGTTTTTGGTCGTCCTGGTCCTTTTTTCCCTTCGATTTTTCCTTCCAGGATTTGCTTTAATAGCTGGTATTTGTGGTCGTTTCGGGCAATGTGGCCTAGGTAGTAACACTTCCTGCTAATGATGGTCTTCAGCAGTTGCCTGTCAGTGCCCATATCTTGCAGAACTTGTGTATTGGTGGTTTTGGCTGTCCATGGGATTTTCAGCATTCTTCGATACAGCCACATCTCGAAAGCTTCGAGCCTTTTTGTTGCTGTTGTTGTCAGTGTCCACCTCTCTACTCCGTACAGCAAAATTGACCAGATGTAGCATTTCAGTGTACAGCATGGCGAGGCCTTAATCCAGCAGTGCGTTAACAAAGGGGTCCACACGGTTGTGCTACAGCAATTTGATTGTGCCGTTAACACTGCCTGTTGTGTGTCCACACTGAATTGCGAGTGTATCCGTTTCAATGTTCATTTTTTTGCGGTTTCCTTTTTCTAAGCAGTTCTTTTACAGTAGCCAGCAAAAGGCACACTCAGCTCCGTGTTGCATTCGCACTTTGTATGTTGAGCAGCTTTGTTGTGCAGTAATGCAGGTGCCACTTTGGAAAATGTACATCTCAGAATCACACTGCATGATAACGTGACAGAGACACGTTTTTCTCTTTTATGTTTTTCACCTTGTTTAGCTTTCCACCGTGGGCTTACAGTCGGATAATGCAATAAACCTACATGATTTTTTTTTGCAAAAGGCCCTTTTTAAACCTAAATTACATAGGAATACTTAAAGCAAAATGTATTATTAAAAAAATACTTTGACAAGACATGCAGATATTTATCCCAGACGATTTGACCATTTTACGTAAGTATCGTTGCCCAGTTCACATTTGTGGTTAGGTCCAACAGAGAATGCGAGTGGGACACCCTGCTCATCCTAACCCGTGGTAAATATTCAACGTCAATTGCGGACGCTTGCACGCGAGGCTTGCCCCCTACGAGGCTTGCCCCCTACGAGGCTTGACCCCCTACGAGGCTTGCCCCCTACGAGGCTTGCCCCCTACGAGGCTTGCCCCCTACGAGGCTTGCCCCCTACGAGGCTTGCCCCCTACGTGGCTTGCCCCCTACGAGGCTTGCCCCCTACGAGGCTTGCCCCCTACGAGGCTTGCCCCCTACGTGGCTTGCCCCCTACGAGGCTTGCCCCCTACGTGGCTTGCCCCCTACGAGGCTTGCCCCCTACGAGGCTTGCCCCCTACGAGGCTTGCCCCCTACGAGGCTTGCCCCCTACGAGGCTTGCCCATGGCCTCCGGCTTGGTTGCATACATTGAGCCTGCCAGGACAGCAGGCCCCACGTGCCATCACCTCACATCGGCGCCCGCAGCAGGTCTGATAAGCTGCCCTTTTTAAATCGCTGATCGTGGCCGGGAGGGAAAGGGTTGTGCCTGCCACATGAGAGCAGGCGGTAATTAGTTGAGCTCACATCTGCCCTCCCCTGATATTTACATCTCTGTTGTGATGCATTCAGGCTTGCTGTGCCGTGCTTGCCAATAATTACAGCTTTGTTTGGGTGGAACCCATCTAATTTCACGGTGTGATGTTGATGTGCAGTGATTGGTATTTTAAACTGTGTGTAATTTGTCTCTTCTGCTGGTGCCTCTTTGTGCCCTGTGAGGGATAGGGACTCGGGTGCTCATGCGTGCTCATGCGTGTGTGTCCATGCATGCGTGTGTGTGCGAAGCGATAGTATAGCAGTTAGCGCGCTATACTATGATACCTGTGACCCAAGTTCGATTTCCGCTCATGGCCAACACAAGTGACGAATATCTTTAACCAGTCCCGGGCCTCCCCTAGGTCGACTCGGCCTCAAATGAGTACCTAGTGCAGTGTTTAAACATCGCCACTCGGGAGACAAAGGCGGCCGGGTGTGGTTTTAGCCACCTTCCCCCTCGTGTGCTGTGCTGGCCTTCCATCGGTGCTCGCTAACAGCACTTGCCCAGAAAGTCTGTTTAGGCTATATATCTTTGTCTTTTCTTGTGGTAATGGAGAGCGGCAGAGCAGTGGTTAGCACATTGCGCTGTGAACCCAGTGACTGAAGTTCGATTCCCTGCCACGGTTAACGCCAGGGGGGAGTGATATCCGAACTAATATTCAGATATCACTAATATTCTTCGTGGCCCCTTTGAAGGTTGCACAATGTGCACGTGCCTGTCCTTAAAATATCAATGTGCCAAAATAACAATAAAAATATTCAACTGCTATGACATGTGGATCCGAATCATGGTCATTGATGAAGGAAATGAAGCTAAATCTGAAAAGTGCTCAAAGAAGCATAGCAGGATTCACGCTTGGAATTACATTGAGAGAAAGGACGATAAACAAATGGATTAGAGAACAAAGGCAGATTAAATCGATGATTCGAACTGTTAGGAAGAGTGAGCATGGGCAGGACCCATCACTTGAAGGTGTGATTGCCCGTAGTCAATAACAACGACAAAGTGGCAGCCAAGAGAGATGGAACGCGTCCAAGCAGATAACCTGCCGAAAAGATGGAGCGATTACATCGGCACGTGTGTAGGTGCTGCTAGGTGGGAATTGCTACATTGCAGGATCGTGAGAGGTGGTGGTGGCTTAGGGAGGCTTTCATCCAGCAGGAGACTAATTATGGCTGATGATGATGTGCCTGTCCTGTATGGCTAAACTGTAAACAAAGCTGTATTTAGGTCGGGTAAAGGCACACTAATTACGGGTTTTGAAACAACCTGATTGTCAACAGGTGTTCCCATTTACACCAAGCCATGCACTGTGGACGAGGTATCCAAAGTGCCCTAATGGAAGCCTACTTAAGCGCGTGATTATGTGTAGAGATTTCTTTCTGACTGACACGTGATCGCCGCGTATTTCCCCACGCGTGTTTACATGCCGGCCATTTGCGCTTCATTAAAAACTCCCAGAGTGGTCGTGCACACCGGCTTAATATTCAGATATTGAAGCTGTTTGATCGTTTGCAATGGGCAACATTTTAATTGTTAATCATTGTGAAGTCAAATTAGTAAGACCCTAATAAATCACAGCGCGAAAAATGTTGCCAGCCAACTGAATTTGTTTTTTTTATCAAACCTGTTTTTAGTTATGGTCCATTGAATGTATAATTGTATATTTAAATGGCTTTATATATACATAATTTTTTTTAAAAATGTCAATTGCTGAACTATGTCGTTTAATAACCTATGCCATGGTGTTTTACGCAGTGTTTTTAAATTAAAGATTTTACGTTAAGCGTTAAATTGAAATTATAGAAAATAATATTCCAATAAACGCGATGAAGGGGTGTGAAGAGAAATCGGCTGTTGCGACGCGCGCTCGCTGCTCGGAAAGCGTGCCACGAATAGGGTTTCCATGGCAACCACTGCTTGCCATGGTTGCCATGGCAAACAGTGGTTGCCATGGCGTGGGTACCGGGAGGGTGTGTTGCCGTGACGGCGGTGGTGCGGTGCGCTGCAGGGCCTGTGGGCCGAGGGAGTGGGTTGGCGGACGGAGTGAGGGGCAAGGAGCGGCAGCTGCCCACCGTGACACACTGTTTCGTGAACTCTTGGCCCCTGTTTTTTTTTTCGGCAAAAAGAGCCTCCGCTAGATGGAGCTCTCGAGAGCCCCTCTAGACGTTATTTGGCCTACTCTTCCACAGTGGCCAGACAATTCGGTAAGAGGTGGGGAGTACCCACACTTTGCCCACATTAAACGTCACCTGCTGATTGACTCTCTGTGGCGTACCCATTCAGTTTAGATTTGAAGCTTTCGTGACTGTAAGGATTCATACTCTAGGTTTTTTCCGGTAAAGTCACGTAGGTAAAAATAAATTATAAAAATAATACAAATGATAATAGAAATAAAATAATAAATCACGACGTTTCGGAGGCAACATAACAGACACTTGTGTTGCCCCCGAAACGTCGTGATTTATTCTTTAATTTCTATTATCATTTGTATTATTTTCATTATTTATTTTTACCTACGTGACTTTACCGAAAAAACCTAAGAGTATGTACCCATTAATTTGTTCGTTACCTGCCATGATCTATTTCTCCACTGCTGGATTGAGTCCTTGTTAAGGCACCCCCATCTTTTATGGTCATGCGATCCACCTCGCTCCAACGCACGTGCTGATTTCATCGCTCTGTCTCTGCAGTGGACACTCCATCATGAGTGGCGTGTTCTGTTAATCCCGCTTATTTTGTTTACCGGTCAGTATGGCAACAGGTGCAAGTACATAGCTTATTTGGGCTGTTTGCTTCAAAACATCCTATGGTATCGAATTACATGCTAATTCCTACTAATTGTTGAATATTCTCTAACATAAATACACTTTTATTTATATATATATAGTCTGTACGTACGAGGAGTGTTATAGATTCATATTTAAACATTCACTAATTGGCTGAAAAAATATTTATAGAGGACTGCAGATCTTGGGGAATTATTGGCGCCGGCTCACCACCTTGCAAGCTTGTCTGTGGTTTCTGAACAATAGTGAGAGATGCAATTTATATGAACGACGTTATATAAAAGTAAAATCAAATAATTATAATCCGGTTATACAATCCGTAGCCATATATGGGGCTTTAAAATGCACATAGAGTTTCCGTAGGCGTGAAATTTGTAATCCAATTTTCAAAACACCTTGTCCTGAGACGGTTGAAGGCGCTCCCTATGATCCGCTACCGTAGACTGATCCATGTAAAATTGCTTCCAATAACGATCTGGTGTTTTTTACTTATTTAATTTTAACCACCTTGGCAAACACTTTGATGTGAATAATTGTAATGTTTCGCCGCCGATTGTTCACATTCCTATCGTGACGTTCACTCTGACCTGTGCACGTCCGCCAATATTGTCAAAAACATTTCATTCCGAAAAGCAGAAGCAATTTTAAACCACTTATTTTATCAAGTGTACTTTTAACATTGGCAGAGCGCAGAAAAAAACACAGCACTTCGTGCCATTTTCTGAATTAACACTTGACAGATGAAATACTTGAGGTGCTCTTGTAAAAAAAATAAACACTGCAATTCATTTCTGTCCTTACATTGACTTTTTGTCACTCTGAACACTAATCACGGCACCACAGGTGGCAAAGAGCGACACTCCATGTGGCACAAATAGGTTGGTGGTTGAAATGTCACACATTTTTCAGCTTCTGGGGTGTTTGAGTCTGAAATGTTAAGTATCTGTCAAGGACTCAAAGGTGTTTGGTCACACACTGTGACACAATTACAGCCGTGCACGCTGACGTCGTTTCAGCCGGCTTGTTACCCTGTAAAGTTAACTCAGCCCGAAATTCGTGCAAACTTGCATAGTATATAGTCAGGCGTGCGTGGTGCCGTGGCTCCACCACTGCAAATGATGGCCCCGTTCACCAAAATATGCTTCATCGTAAGAGACTACGCAGCGGAATAATGGGGCCTTTGTTTGCCGCGTATGTGTGTACGTACATTGAACTTTTAACGCACCGTACATAGCTAACCGTGCTAATCGGAGGTGCGGGGGAAGGACAACAAACTAAACACAAAATCAGTTATAAAAAAAAAAGTTTTTAATCTCCATTTAAAAGTGCATAGCTCCAGTAGCTTCCTAATATCGGAAGTGAAGGAGCATTCCAGACGGCCACAGAGGCGCATTTGAAAGAACGCATTGCAGTCATCGTCTTTGTTCGATGGCTAGCCAAAATGCGCTGCGAGGGTGACCTGAGTTTGCTTGTGTGTTCGTTTATATCATAGTATGATTGGAGGTATGGAAGTCCTGCATGCCATCGAGAAGATAGAGGCCAACCCCAAGACTGATCGCCCGGAGGTAGGTGACCGAATCCTTTTCGACTCGTTGATATTTCACTCCCGTTGTGACGAGCATTCTAGAGACACGAGCATATCTGTGCAGACTTTGTATCCTTGTTAACTTGAATTCTCGAGTCCCAGAAATGTACAGCGTGTGCTTGAAGGGTGACTCAGTCTTCCACTTAATGCTCCTATCTTGAAAACAGCACGTTCTTTTGCTTCGCTGGCGTTCTGCAGAGCATCACCGTGGTCCAGTCACCTGCCGGGAAAAATATAAACGAGCACTCAAATTAAAATTTAGCGTAAACGAATTAGGTGTATACAATATTCCTTGTTGTCCGTTTTACTCGGTTGTAGAGGTTATGAACAAAAACGACTCGGTCATCACCTGGTGCACATCAAGGTGCAGGTTTTCAAGATCCACCCATGAGTGCAACTTAAATAAGCGGATGATATTTCTCCTTCACATATCTGTTCCTCCACACCAAAATTTGTTTTTCACTTCCTCTCAACCGCGCAAGGCCTGCTGAAAGTGCATTATTTCAGAAGCATTGGTGCACAAACAAACTCTCGACTGGTTTTAACCTACAGTGTCTCATCGGCAGTCGAGCTTGCTTGACCCAATCCTGGTGAACTGTCAGATGTTACAGGCAAGGACCATCTCTTAAAGATATGGGTCTAAGTTCGATGGAAATGTATTATTATTTTTACCATACGTACCCCACTGAGAGTGGTAACCGTGTGTGAGCGGGGCGTAATCTACACTGAAGGGAAGCCGGGTTGCGGCTAGAAGGCTCTTAACCATGGTGCTTTGTATTTGTGTCCCTGTATTTACTCCCAGAAAGAAATCAAGATTGAGAAAATGACCGTCCTTGTGAATCCTTTTGAGGAAGGCGATGCACTCGTGAGTACACTAAATAACAGGATAAAATGTACAAACATTGAGTGGGTAAATGACGGCGCATAAGTAGCAATTCCAAGCATGGAAATTAGCCTGGATTCCGTTGAGGTGTTGAATAACGGGGGTTGAACCGCAGCTGTTTTTTTACAATTACACTTGACAATGTATATTTATTGGAATTATTACGATTGCAAAAAACGTAAAAAAAAGAGAGCATTTTGGCTGTTTGTTCGTATGCTTCGACTGTTTTGCCGGATTTTATAATAAAAAACGCTCAACAGCGATGTGGGAAGACTTGCGCTGTACCACCAGTGAGAAGCGTGAAACGGCCGTCCCGTTTCAACCACTGCAGAGTTAATGTCTACCCAGCTCTCCATCGCGATGGTTTAAAAACAGCTTGGATTTTTCTGAGAAACTTGTTTTTCCACCCCCGTACAGTTGGCAGCTGATCGGCAGAAGGCTCTGGAAGAGGACGAGGAGCTGGAGAAATCTCGCCTGCCGATCGTCCGCAAGCCCGTAGCCAACCCCCAGCCCAAGACCTATCGCTCCGGCATCGGCAAATACATCGACATGGCCGCCGTGTGAGCACTTATTTTATTGACATTTTTGTTTTTACTTTTACCGGGTAAGACCCACTGAGCTATATAGCTCTTTTTCAGAAGCGACCTGGCCACAAATGATAACTCAGCGAAGTGCCTGATCATCTGGAAATTTATCGCAGCCCAATAATATAAACGCACGTTTCTAAATGTGGAGGAAAAAAACCAGAGGACCCGTAGAAAAATACACGCGACCACGGGGAGAACACGCAAACTCTAAATTTGCAGGCGTTAGGGTCGGCATGGAACCCATGACCTGCATTTACCACGCCATCCATGTCGATAATAGGTGCTACAGCAACATCTACAGCAATTATAGCTATATTTGCTGCCCCTATTCAGTGCAATCATTGTTGTGTGCTACATGTGAGCGGATGATATTTCATTTCACTGTCAACATCGTTCAGCGTGATAGCGCCCCTTGTAAAACAAATGCTTGCGAACAGGTCGTGAAAATATACTTTCCTCATTGCTCTTGCTGTGCGCTTAGGGTCAACCGTGGGTGAACTAACGCAGCCTTGAATTTAGAGTAGTTCAGGCAAATGTGTTGTTGCTGCCGCCGCCGCTGCCGTTACAGGAAAGAATGTGACTTGCTGACTTTAAAATATCACACTGTTCAAGCTTAGCAGCAAGGGTTGGATGATTCACCCTTCCACTCCTGCCCCGCCCATTCGAAATACTGTCTCGATTGAGAGTCACGATCAAATACAATTAATTCTAGATTAGAAGCTTTCGTGACTGCAAGGATTCATATTCTTAGGTTTTTTCGGTAAAGTCACGTAGGTAAAAAATTAAAATTAATAAAAGTAAGAATACAAATACAATTAGTTTGCTTTACTTTGCGATGAATGGGTTAGTGCGTCTCGTAGCCGCAAGGGTATCTCTAACAAATTACTCAAGGAATGTAGATTTTTGCACGCTTGATGCATATATCATGAGCTTAACAATCTACTTGGAAATATAAAAATACGTAAAAAGTTATATTTCTAGTTATCGCATCTCAGCATTGCTCACCTGTGACCACTTGTTCGTCTGTTTTCTTTGCAGGAAGCGCCGTACGGATGAAGAGAGCGTCGCATCCAGCAGTGGAGCCGCGGGGCCATCGTCTGCGAAGAAACTCAAGACCAGCTCATCGCGTTAGACGAGCAGCAGTGTGTAGCAGGCTTGTTGTGGGCATCAACGGCAAGTGCCAGTGGTATTTCACGTAATTTGTGTCGATTAAGAGCATTATTCTCCGTTCATTATTTCCGCCTCTCATAAGGCACCATGGCAAGATGGATGATCTACAATGGCTGCGGGGTGTTTGTGGGGAAAAATGGACCCCTTTGTGCATTTGCATGAGTGAGAACAGCCGTACAGAGGGACAATTTGTGCACACTCACGTCAAGGTGATAACAGAAACACGTGATGGCAGTGGCCCTTCTCCGCACCGCACATGATGGAAGTATTCAATTACAGAGCTACTGGTTTTCATGTTTTAACCTAACGGAAATGGATTTCACTGATGCAGACTACTCCCTTTGTGAAAGGCATGAAAGGCAAAAGCCAGAGCAGTTCAGAGGTGGCAGCCACGTGCTTAGGAGACAGGTGACACGGGCGATCACACGACAACGCCGCCCACAAGAAAAGGACCAGCACTGCACTTGATAATCCTTCACCAATGTATCAGCGCGCTCCTCCTGACACACGAACATGACCCACCAGCGTCTGGAAGGGTCAGAGGTTGAACCTTGGCAGAGTGTCCACAACCACTTAGCAGTTCCACCAGATGACGACTGCCTGGGCTGCCCTCTCGGTGGGGCAGATTCTATCTCCAGGCTGGCGAGTTCTCGTCACGCCACCGTGTGCGGCAGGCCGATGTCACGCTGGGATGTACATTACTTTGACATACGTCTTGTGCCCAGCCTCATTTGCCCGATGGACAATGTAGATGGGGGGGTAGGGGGGTGCTGAGCAGGGTCATTGTAGTTGGTGATTGATCGTGTAGATGCGTGGTGTGGTTGGTAAGGATGCTAGCGAGTCGTATGATCTCATGGCTTTTAGGAGAGAGCTAGCAGTTGGTCCAAATACAAGAAGCCTTAGCCTGGGTTTAGCATGGCCTTGTGTCCTCTGCCACTTTTTGTAACTGCAGTGTAGATATTAATTGTATCTTTTTTATTTCTCTCACCCTCACCTGCCTCTGCCGTTCTTTGTCACCTTTTATTACTTTATATTGTGAAATAAAATCTTATCCACAACTCTTGAGTCGGTTCTTTTTTTTTAAAAAGAGACAGCTATGAAAATGATGGTTGGCCATTTACCACCAGTTTGTTTCTAGTCTTGAACCAAGCTGAGCCTTGTTTTGAACATAAACTCTGAAACAACAACAATGTGCCAAGGGGTCCACATTGAATTGGCTGCTCGAGTCGTTCACTTAAAATATATAACGAATGTTTCTACCGCACTGTAAAAAACAGAACCCCTCTAATCTGTTGTGATATGGGGGGACTGATTTCACAGATCCTATTCGTGAATCTATTCCACATCCGTGGAATTAACAGGATGAATTTGCCACTCATCTCTCCTTGTGCCTATCCGAGCAATACACGGAGAAACAGACACACGGAGAAACACGGACAGCAACGGAGATACAGAGGGAGCAAAGACGGACACGGAGACAAAAGATAATTTCCATAAGTGGTCTTGAGCAGGATATCTAGAAGGGATGATGGAGAATGGTCAAGAGTAACAACGGAGTGGCAGCCAAGGAATGGAACGTGTTCAAGAGTGTCCACCGAGTTGGTGGAGTGATGAAATCGGTTCATGTGCAGACGGTTAGATGTATTGTTGTGCTGCAACATCTTTGAGAGGTTTCCTGGGACAGGCCTTACAGGTGAGAAGGGTGCGTGGTGGGCTGGACCTCTTCGCCACTTTCACGAGCCCTGCTTGAGTTGAATCGCTCGGTATCGTGCAACGTAGTCAGTCACTGACGTTGCATAAACACGAGATGTTCCGTCGCATCTGAAGAATGCAACCGAGTTGCGGGAGAATGGCATCGTGATCATAACTCTGCGCATCCATAAAGCTGGCCACAGCGTGCTCTTGCTGGAGGCGGCCAGCACATTAACAAGTGCCATGTACCTGGATGAGGGCCTCTTTTTCCCCACACTTAGTCGGTCGCGGGAATGGTTTGGCCATGCATCACCATGCTGGTCGGTGTTTGGTTTATGGTAGACAGCATAGACGCGTAATAATCTATGTGGCTACTGCTGCCCACCATTTGGCCCTAGAGCATTCTATAATAACCTGTTTGTACGTGGTGGTTGCTCATCCAAACACGAGGCTCAAGCTCGCTTGTCCAAATGATATATGACGAGGTGGACTACATTCAGGGCGATGTTATCATAGGCTAACGAGCGCCATCTCTTCTAAACAACTGCGTGCCAAGTTGCATCCATCCCGCTGCTGAGCAAGCACAGCACCTCCGCACTGAACAATCGGCGCAGGCTTTATTAGCACCGCGCCGAAACCGACCCTCCAATGTGGTACAAATAGCGCGTAGACCAATGCCGTAATTATAATATATATTTGGGGGGGGGGGATATCCCCCCCCCATATTCAAATTTACTCAAAATGTCCCTCCCAATATATTGCTATAAAATAGATGTCTGTTTATATGATTGTGGTTATAGTTGTACTTAATAAATCCCTAATCTCTGCCATTACATACAATGAAACAAGAAAAGGTAAAAAAAGAAAAAAGAGCAATGTAATGCAATACAATACACTATTAGACATTATTGTTAAAAATAAATAAAAAGTCAATCCCATGTGTTAGTGAATTTTTTAATATTTTAGGCAGGAAATGGCAGGAAATTCGTTTTCAAATTTAGATTTTTTTTCTGGGGTGGTGACCCCCCAGACCCCCTGGGAAATCTGGTCTTCCCCAATGTTGACTCCATGGCTACGGCCTTGGCGTAGTCAATGGCACGGATGGAACGGATTGTTGTTGCCGTTGGTTCGAGTCAGCCCCGCGCCCGTGTGGCACTACCACGAGCCCCCGACACTCCCACAGCAGTGCCGAGGCGCGCGTTCGTTTACGCAGCGGCAGAGGTCGCAACCGGGTACCCGATACCCGGCTACCCGTACCCGGACCCGTTTGCGACCCTGGTGCGGCCCGGTACGGGTAGACCGTGAGTCACTGGTGAGTCACCGTTTGTCACTCATTTCCCAACGTCTTGTGTCTCTTCTCACAATTCAAGTTCCTAGAATCAACCCACCCGCGCCTGCAACATGGCTTCATCCCAGAGGTCGCAATCAGGTACCCGATACCCGTGCCCTACCCGTACCTGCGCAGCTGGCCGATGAGCGGGCACTGTAAACAGTTCAATGCCACTCGGGGTGGTGGGTGGATGGGGAAAATAATATCCGCTTTTACGAGCTACATTGTTAGGAAATGGAAAACATCACGTGAGGATTCATAAAGCTGGTAACGAATTTCACGAGCGGTAACTTGACGCGCGCGCGGCGTTGCGAGCGCACTATCGCTGGGATATTGCATTTGCCGCTTATTGTCCACGATCATTCCACGGCTGGGTGAACGCCTCCAACAGAGCTCGTCGTTCCTCGCCGTCTTGCGATCGAGAGAAATCCATCCAGCCACCTTCAACAGGAGCTGACTTCATTGCTCCCTCCCCCTCGGGGTGCCACTCGGTGGCGGTCTCTCAATCAGCGGACGTGTTGCTCGCTTAAGCCAGTCCCCTTAGCGAAGGCGATTCTTCCAATTTCGCAGGGTTGCCGTCATTGCGATGGTTGTTGCCACTCCGGTGACTCCGCTGTCCGCCGGGGGCAGCTTGTGTTCAACATGAGCCGTCGTCGTCGCTAGCCAACTTTGAGTTCCATCATCTGAAAGAGGCGTTACTCGGTTGGGAAGGAATCGGAGGTGATCAGGGGTTGGGGAAGATGCTGTGTGAGCGTGATTGTGTAGGCGTGCGTGATTGTGTGGTTCATGCAGTGTCTCGTGTCCCGTTCACAGTTTGCTACCCTGTGTGTGTGAGCCTCGTGAAGGTCAGCTCGGCCTGTAATGTGGATACACCATTGGTTGGGGTGTGATTTATTTTCTTTGGTAGAACAACAGCAAAAAAACGACTTTAAACGTCTCGGGAAGACTTGCAGATGTCCCTAGGACGGCTGCCTCAAAGAATGCAATCCTGGAGAGGACCAGACCAGGCCAGGTTAATCTTCTTGGTTCTTTCGGTAAAGTCACGTAGAAGGTAAATGATAAAAATTAAACATAATAAAATAAAATTATCGCGACGTTTCGGCCACAACGCAAGCAGCCGTCCTCAAGTGAAGAACAGGGCTGTCGCAAAGATAGCGTCCGAATTAAAGCTTTAAGTCGAAATGTAACAGGCCAGGTTTGTTTGACCTGGAGGCGAGGAGGCAAAATAACAGGATAGGTCTCATTTGCAAGAATGGCCTGAAGGTGGCAACCCTAACTCTGTTGCTTTATAAGTGTTAATCAGTATCGATTAACCCACGCTCCTTGCTGATGTGTTTGTTAAGCCGATAATGACCCTGTGATCCGGTGGGGGAGCAGTGGCACAGTGGTTAGCGCACTGCGCTACTAACCCGGGGACCTGAGTTTGATCCCCTGCAACAGCTAACATCAGCATCTGAACCGGGCCACCCCTCAACAACCCACACTGACCAGCATGGTGAAGTATGGTCAAACAACTTGGGGGGGGGACACACCCCCCCCCCCCCAAATATATTGCTATAAAAAAGATTTCTGTTTATATGATTGTGGTTATGGTTGTACTTTATTGATCCCTGATCTCTGCCATTACATACAATGAAACAAGAAAAGGTAAAAAAGAAAAAACAGAGCAATGTAATACAATACACTATTAGACATTATTGTAAAAAATAAATAAAAAGTCCACCCTATGTGTTAGTGAATGTTTTTATATGTTAGCCAGGAAATGGCAGGAAATTCGTTTTCAAATTTAGATTTTTTTTTTTCTGGGGAGGGACCCCCAGACCTCCTGGAAGATTTGGTCCCCCCCCAATGTTGACTCCATGGCTACGGCCTTGTTGTGCACCACTCTCCAGGGATGACCGGTTTGAATCGGTCTTCCCGTGCGGCAGTTGAATGAATGGTCAACTTTCTTACATCTCACTCCCACCAATGTCCACCCAGCAGCATTATAATTAGACGCACCACACCTTGCCCAGTTGCATGTGATTGGGCAAGGTGTGGGTTCTCCCACCTCTTCCAAGACACGTGACCAACATGGAAGAGTAGGCCCAAATACCCTCTCGAGGGGCTGCCTTAGAGCTCCTCTCCAGTGGAGACCCTTCCGCGCAGTGATGTGAGCGAGAAAATTGCAGGTGCTGCTTCTCGACCTTTTTCTTTGTTCACGATAAGCCCCGCGTACCTTGGCTGGCATTATGCAATGAGCTCCAGCTGGCAGTCACTGCATCGCAGGGTCTCTACATTACTCGGAGTGACAGCTGCGCATCGCAAGGCACTTCAGTGGGGGCAAAAGGTAATTTAAGTTGCTACTAATTGACGGCCCATTAAGGGAGACCTACCGTACCATCCACGGGGTAGGGAATGGAGTGGTATTGAATGTCCTTGATGCTGTGTGTGCACGTGTGTATCTCGGCTAATGTCAGCGGCGAGTGATATCCGAACTGGTCTTGGGCCTCCTTTAGGTGAACTCGGCCATAAATGAGCACCTGGCACCGTGCGCGTTGATACGGTCGCAGCTGGCAACACCGGCGCCTTTGCGTGCCACTTTGTGCCACTGACACAAAGTGCTCTGCGATGGCTTAAGTTACGCGTGAGTTGCTCGAACATTTCTAAAACACAATGCTGTTGCCATGCTGCAAATATTCCTCCTCCGGGAACCGATTCGTGCGGGTACTCGTATGCTCACGGCGACGGAGAGACGAGCGTCTCTGCGCACGCATCTCCCCAGTTGCTGGTGTTACTGGTAGGAACCTCCTGGTTACACCAGCCCACAGGGGATTATTCCGTCTGTTGTGCAGGGAGGGGCTGGGTGGGGAGGGAGGGGCTGGGTGGGGAAGGTGGGGAGAGGCTGGGTGGGGAGGGTGAGGCTGGGTGGGGCTGGTTGGGGAGGGGCTGGTCACCCCGTGGTGCCCTTATAAAACTCAACGTTTAACCTACTCACGCCGGCTTGTGCCCGCCCTCTTGTACTGTACTTATATGCTCTCACTCCATGCACCTCAC